TGAAGAGTTCTTTTGTAAACAGGAATCAGATATAGGTCAAAGCAGGTAAAATAATGCTCTCAACAGAAATTAGATGTAGCACCTGTGGTGTAAACAACATAATTCCAGGCACAGCGGGGTGTTTATTTAAAGAGCTCTGCAATCATAGCAATATTACACAGGTGTCTGCTTCCTGAAAGTAAAATTGGACATAAAATACCTCATGAATGAATGCAAAATGTTTCTATGAAGGTTTAATATGATCTCAAATGTATATACAGCTGTTAAAAAGACTAAAATTTTAGTTAGACTCACTTCAGAACAATAATTTCAGTTTTCTACATTTAATTCACAAAAAGGAAATATTAAATCTGTACTAAGACTGAATGAGAGGTTATTAAAGGTGATAAGATACATATTGGATGTCATTTCATTATGTATTATAACAGGCCTTTAGTATTAGTATTATTTTGTTTTCCTCTTTCAGCTTCACTCATCTGGACACACCTGTGATCTATTGTAGTGATTGCACAGGTGCAGCACATGAGGCCTATGAGTTTCTGTGAGACAAAGCCGTGCACCCGAGACGAGCTGGGAGCCTTTGTTTGGGCTCTCTCACAAAAGCTTTTTACATGTGCAGCGCACAGACACGCCTGGAGTCAAATCTCTTAGAAACCATAAATATAGTCAGTTTTTTCCAGTGGGTTTATATGCGCTTCGGTGGATTATGCAAAGTTTACTGTTGCCCTCATCCAGACTGTTTAGGGTGGTTTATTATTTTTAATGACCCAGTGAATGATCTCCAGTCATGTCAACAATACTGTAAATCCTCTGCTGGGCCCTGTCCATTGTATGCCAATAACTACATGAGACTGATTTAATTGGCGATGATTTGAAAAGGCCTGGTTTCAAGCTCTTTATGTCTGGTTTAAAGTTTATATAGAGCCGTTGTCATAGCAACAGGTCCCTTAAGCCCAAACCTACGAACGTGCAGGTTATTCACAGTTAGCTGGACCAACGTGTGTCAGCTTTGAACAGACATGAAGTCTCCATGTCACCAATTTAAAACTGATTAAATCATTTCAGATGAGAGCATGTACATCTTTTTAAATATTAAAATCTGAGTGCATTAATCCACTATCAGTAGTAAAATCAGCTACAACTACAATAGTACACATAAAGAAAAGAACCTATTCAAATTTTATTTGGTTTACTATGAGCCAAAGAAATATATTTGTCATTTTTAAATCAAACTTCATATGACAAACTATAAACTGTTGGATTTTACTGGCTGTTTGCCATGAAATCCGCCTTATTGATTTTAGTGGTTTCATTTTCAGTTAAAATATATTTAAGGTTCTTTCTGAGCTTTTAATGAACAACTGTGCAGCTGCAATAAAGTATGCTCAACATATTAGTACCGATGGTCTCAACTCTTCTCATGTTGCCTTTATTTTAAAGAAAGAGCTCACTGGTATTCAAGATAATCCAAGGTTAACAAATCAAACAACTTGCCTGCATTCAACGAACCACATTAGCTGGATGAGAGTTAACGAGATCATTTTAAGCTTGTTAACAAAACGTTAGCTTGAAGAACAGAGCCCAGCGCTAATGGAGTCACACATCACATCTACAGCAGCGTGCAAAAGAAAAAATACCATGCTCACTGGGGAAAAAACTGTAAGATGCCGTACTAAATGGGTTAAAATAGTTTACAATTTACAAAACAGTGTTAACATTCACCTCTTCAGCGCTTCAGCATGACAACAGTCTTTCCTTTCAGAAAGAAAACAAGTTGGACTAGAGTCCTTGACTGTCTTGACATCTCAGTGAAAAGCAGGTTTTGTAGCAGCTGAGAGGAACAAAAAGCTCTCTGTGACTCAGACTACAGCGTCTCGTCTGCTTGAAAAGCTACAGTATCACTGGAAGCAGACAATGTCGTACAGGCCGGGGTAAATTCCCCGGAGCTGCCGAGCATGCAAACTGCTTTTCCTCACACAGCGAGCCTATATATCATGCAATGACTTCATCACGTATATAAGGCCTGAGATGAATTAGGTTGTCAGGGGCAGGAAAACATGGCTGTCAGGTGAAAAATAAATGTCAGAGATGAAAGACGCACAACTGTGCTCCTTATGGCTGCATGGGGGGGACTTTTTTCTGAGTAACATGCATGAATGTTAGGTTTAAGTCAAATTATAAAGTCTTAATATTGTATATCGAATGAACTGGCATACCGCAGCTACATTATCCAAATATCCTTCAGTGGAGTAAAATATCCGTTGTAACATTTGACCTCAAGTTTATTCGTTTTAATTGCAAATATAAATGTGCTTAACTTCTTGGCGAGACTTAACATTAACTACTGCTAACAGCCGGTTAGCATAGCTTAGCACAAAGACTGGAAACAGAGGAAACAGTTAGCCCGTAGATAGACCTTTGAACAGAGTCATGGTGGCAGTTTCCAGAGCTTGGGCCAAAGCTTCATAATGAGTGTACAGACATGAGAGATCTTCTAATTCAAAGCAAAAAACATACTGTCCAAAAACGTTGAGGTTTTCCTTTCAGCATTAAATGCTAACTGATGTTCCTGTCAGTGTTAATTTATACAGCGACATGACATTATTTCCTGCAAAATGCAGTTAGAACAAGTTTCAGCAAAACAGCTGTAATCAGGTTTTGGCTTCAGCCAGGGCTTCTTTCTAGAGTCGGTTTTGCTTCTATATTCACCAGACACACGAGGGAGTAGTCTGCTGTGCAAGATGTAGATCATCTAACACTTTCCCCACCCAGAGTATAGCCTCATAAACCAGAATGTAATATATCTGGCATGTTGAGTGCTTGAGTTAAGGATACAACATTTGTGTTTCTCTCAACTGGAAAAACCTGCTTTCTTGCCATTATTGCATCTTTTGCTGTTCTTTTTCCTACATTGTCTCTTACACATATTTGAATGGTGATGTCCTGGTTTACTGAGGCTTGTTGAAAGGCATTTTGGGAAATGTAGGACATAACTTAGCATGACAGGAGGCAGGGTGGAGAAGAGGGAAACCACACAAATTGAATTCTAACTTCTGCAACACTGAACATCAGAAATTTATTGCATATTTTAAAAAAAATAACGGCGCGTTTTCCTGCAACAGTAACAGCAGCTAGAGGCAGAGCAGTCTACACGCTAACACACCCAGCATGCAGCTGTCCTCTCATATATGTTTACACCTTGAACCATTTGACTGCTGACTCACTATGATAGACCGCCACTGACCCTTACAGAGAGTGCAACATTTCTGAGGCCATTTAACCTTAATTCTACAGCTGGGCCCAGACTGATTGTATTTAGCCTGACCCACATACTGTAATAAGTAAGGAATCCCACTAAAGCAGAGCGCCTGAGCACAGCTCTGGTTTTAAACACTCCCTATGGGTGGGCTGAGCTGGCAGAAAATCAGTCTTTAGCAAATCTGCCGTCCACCCTGTCCCGTACTGTGTCCCACAACGCCTCATTTTACCCAGCTATGTTGTATAAGTATGGGAGGTGAAGTGAGCTAATCCACTGATTGCAGATGTGATGTGAATGGTTTCCGCCGTTCTCCCAAGGTTGTGTCCTTATGATTTGCAGCTGGTCGGACACACTGAGTATGTTTTTTTTTTTTTTTGCCATGCTAGCGTTAAAGCAATAGGAATGGCAAAACTTTGGTTTTAAGTGAAATATCTTTACAACTATTGGATTAAAGTTTGGTTCTGAATGAAGTGATCCCTTAACTTTCATCTAACGCCATCATCAGGTCAGAATCTGGTTTATGACCAAATACCTGCACAACTGATGACATTCCCATCACCCTCAGCTGTAATGTATGTCTACTGGTAATTGGCAAATGTTAGCATGCTAACACACTAAACTAAAGTGGTTAACATACATAGTAAACACTATTCCTGCTAAATATTAGCATTGTCACTGTGAGCATGTATGCATGACGTCACCCGTCCCCCACACGTCTCTGAAGAGCTGTTGCAAAGCTCAGTGTGGTCGGCTCTGGCTGTCGCCATGTTGGCCATCCTGACTCCGCAGGCTCCCCGCTTATCTAAAAATGAGAAAATAAGTGGAGCGTGGGTGGAGCCGAGGCAGGCTGAATGAACGGCACCCACCTTTCACTCAAAAGCAGCTGCGCCCTAAATTAACTTTAAGCCTTAATTTAATTGAAATGGCTCAGTCATATAAAAAATTTAACCCATAAACAGGCAATTTATACCAGGCTGTGAACAAGTTTATTTCAGCTTCAAAGTTATTTTAATGTGGGACCTTATGGAGCCTCAAGTGGTCGTTGCAGGAATTGCAGTTTTTATTATATCTGTG